AACTTGCTTCAATTGATTGCTCGAGTCAAAGAAGGACTTGACTGCACGTAGAAAATCATTCCCCATAATGTTCCAAGTCCTCTTGAAGAAACCTGCATTAAAACCATTAGGTTCCGGGAGACTTGTTGTCTTTCAAAGAGAACAAAACCTCATTAATCTCATCAAACGACATATCTCTATCAAGGGATTCTTTCTGTACTGCTGAGATACTTTTGGGAAGAGCTTTTGGAAGCAAGTCTATATCTAGCCTCTTACCACTAGGCTGTTGTCTAAAGAGATTTTGATAGAATTCAATAATGACTTGACTAGCCTCAGGCGGTTCATCAACTCCAGTACCATCTTCTCTACAAATGGAAACCACCTTATTCTTGCCATAGTGACTTTTCATAGCCTTGAAGAAGAAAGCAGTATTTCGGTCCCTAAATTCAACCACTTAACACGAGCTTTTTGTCTCAAAAAACCATCCTCAGCCCTACTTAACTCGAAAAATTCCTTTTGTAGTCGAGCCTCCTCATTATGTAAAGATGAGTCCAAAGGCAAATGCTGAATCAAACACTGAACATGCTCTAAATCAGTTTGAGCTCGAGTAACTCTACTAGTAGATTTGAAAAATGCTCCTTATTAAAATCTTTCAGGGCAAGCTTCAACTTTTTCAATTTCAAACACAGACAATACATAGGAGTTCCGAAGACCGCTTAACCCCAGATCTAAGTCACCAAAGGAAAAAAATATGGGCGATCTACCTAACAATCAAAGAAATGGAATGGAATCTTCCTACGTGAAAGCTCTGCAAGTTTCACAACCTTAGGAGAATGATCCGATACACCAGCAGTAAGGAAAGTAGCTTCCGATCTCTGAAATTCTTCCTCCCACTTCAAATTCACCAATACCCGAGCTAGTTTCTTGAGAATAGGATCAGATACATGCTTATTAGACCATGTATATAAGCAACTATCAAACTTTAAATCATCCGAGCCATGCAATTCCCAAGATCGTCTTGCCATACAGGCAAAGAAGAAGAACCACCTGCCACATCTAAAGGGGAGAGAATAGAATTGAAGTCCCTCATGACCAACCAAGGAAAACATGTAAATCCTCCATGTCTAGCTACTAAATCAGTCCATAGATCACCACACTTAACTGGGATGTTATCCTCATATACTACTGCCACTACACAACTCCATTTACTATTGCATGCATTAACACGTACATGGATAGCTTGAGCTGAGCTACCACCAGCAAAACATCAACATCATTTGGATTCCAACATATTCAAATTCTACCAAGCGGAGAACAATTATAATTAGTAAGGACATTCCAAGACTTGAAGATGGCGTTTGCCACCTTATTTTGATTTTTCTCCTTAACTTTAGTTTCTACCAATACACACAAAGAAAGCTTCTTGGAAGAGATGAGGCTCTTTATTTCAGATTTTTTAAGAGGATCATTTAACCTTTTAACATTCCAGCATCCAAAAAACATAATTAAAGTCAAGGAGAGAATCATACCCTCAATATTCCTAACGCCATCTACCTCCCATAGGGGAGTGATGCTTCTTGTCCCTTTTGTGCTTGCCTCCTGACCCATTCTTTTTCTTCTGAAGTGAATCAATAGCTTTTGTTGCCAACGAGTTAAAATGAGGGACAGAAGTATCACTGTCATCTTCATTCAGAATGGCAAGTGTGGAGACACTACCCCTTCTTCCCCTAGTTCATTATTCTTATTAGGCTTCAATACTACTCTCTGCTTATTAAGGTCACTAGGTGCAAATGACTTATCAATCTCTCCATGAGTCGCCCTGAAAACCACCAGCTGCTTATCAAGATCACTCTGCGAAGGTTGTCGATCAGCCTCTCGCTGGATCACCTTAGAATTATCCAACAAAGTATGGATGCCATCTTCTTGGATAGGAATAGCAACGCCATCATCGACACTCTCGGAGGACTTCCTCTTATGTGAGACATGAGTCCATCCGTCATCTATAGGTGGTTTCTCATTAGCAATACCACTCTGGTCAGCCTTATCCTTAGCAACCCAAAATTTGGCAAGAGTGGCCAAATACCTCACATTCCATGCATTTCATGGGGATCCATTCAAACTCAGCACGAATAGTAATGCACTCTCCATTCGCACATCAAAAATCAAAATCCTCCATTAACTCCTCCACAGCATTAATCCCTACACAAACACGAGCAAAGCTAAGATATTTGGGTGTAAGAGTGATCGCATCCGCACATAAAAGATGTCCCACAGCACTTGCTACATGACTCAACCCCTCTGCTGTCCAGTACTCAAAAGAGATATTATAAAGCTTTACCCAAACAAATGCAATGTAGGTTCTCCTTGGTCAAAATCATATTAGGTTGCCAATGCTTCAGGATAAGTGACATATTAGCCATATGCCATGGCACTCGTTCAAGGACTAAGAGAGCTTGACGAATAGAATTGAACTTAAAGAAATAGAGACTAGCATCTGAGGATAGAACCTTCTCAAGGCCATATCTATCCCATAACTTATGATCAATGGAGTTCACAACCGGAAAAGATAACTTCGTCCCAACAAAGTATCCAAACAATGTTGTTCTCCATAATTCACAACCTGAAGCTGCCACTTCAATAGGAGGAACCACCTTCATTAAACCATGATCACAGAGTGGTTTGATGTAATCTAAATCCAGAGAAATTCCTAGGTCTAATTCTTTTACTTGAGACCTTTTCAATACCCTAGCATAGGATCTTGGCATCAATTGTCCTAATTGTGATTTCAATTCACCATTAGTTGGATCAGAAGAATTACCCTATTGCAGTAAATTAGGGAATCCAATTGAATTTGCTTTCAACTGCTCACTTGACTAGTGCAAAACCCATTTCAGAGCCTCAAGATCTTTGCCAACTTTAGTTGCTAAATCACAATAGGACCAGACGGCTAGGTGGGGAGAAGTATTAGGTGGTAGATTTTAAGTGTGGGTGTGGTCGGAATGCGGGTTGCCGCCTCGTGGGGGTTAGCTAGTTGGGGTGAAATGGAGGCTTTTGTGACTGGTTTGGATAGTGTGAAGCCAAGTGTGGTAGATGGTTGTGTGGAGGGGTGTAGATCAACGCCCATGGTGGTGACGTCTGGTGGCTTGGGTTGGGGGAGGGAAGGTTCTTTGGTGGCTGGCAGCTCCATTCAAAGAGGAAGAGAAGCGGGGTGATTTTTCGCCTTGAGAAAGGGTTAATTTTATGAATGGTAATTGAACTTTGCCCTATATTACTACTTAGTTACTGAACTTAAAAACGTAACTCAATAGTCACTGAGCTTCGCCAAGTGTTACTACTTCATAAACGAACTTTAAAATGTATCTCGATGATCACCGAACTTTGCTCCATGTTACCCATCCGTCACTCAAATAAAAAAATCTGTTAAGTCCAACAAACGACGTCAACTTGAGTGACGGATGGGTAACACGGTGCAAAGTTCGGTGGCCATTGAGATACATTTTAAAGTTCGATTATGAAATAGTAACACTTGGCGAAATTTAGTGATCATTGAGTTACGTTCTTAAGTTCAATGACTAAGTAGTAACATAGGGCAAAGTTTAGTGACCATTAAGATATATTTTTAAATTGAATTATTAAGCCATTGTTTGAGTCTCATTCTTTCAAAAAAAAATACATTCTTAAATAGTGATTGACATCATTCAACCACATATTTTTCAATAAAATAATATTACACGCAAATTCAAAATTTTTCCTTACACATTTTCCATCAATATACTATTCAAAAATTCATTTTATCCCTCAAAATGGGGATCAAACATGGGCTAAGCTTCTCAAATCGATCTCTAAGAAAGAAGAAATCAAAGAAAATGAAGGGAAAAAAGAGGAAACAGAAAATCAGAGACATATAAATTAAATAAAAATAAAATTGTTGCTAATATTCATCCATCAAGGTGAAAAAGTACGTTTGATTTTTAGATCAACTGGTATCAGTTTATCGTATCTCAAACACCGTATAAATAGATTGAAAGAGAAGTAGTTGGAACACTAAAAGAAATTGACAAAGAAAAATTAAATAAAAGTACAAAAATATTCGAATAGTGCCAATGTAACTGAGGTCGATTTGATTTTTCAACTATGCTACTACTTAGTTACTGAACTTAAAAATGTAACTCAATGGTTACTGAACTGTGCCAAGTGTTACTACTTCATAACCGAACTTTAAAATGTATATCAGTGGTCACCGAACTTTGCACCATGTTACACATCTGTCATTCAAGTTGACGCCGTTTGTTGAACTGAACGAGATTTTTCCATTTGAGTGATGGATGGGTAACGCGGTGCAAAGTTCGATAACCATTGAGATATATTTTAAAGTTTGGTTATGAAGTGGTAATACTTGGCGAAGTTCAATAACCATTGAGTTACGTTTTTAAGTTTAGTGACTAAGTAGTAACATAGGGCAAAGTTCAGTGACCATTCATATAATTAACCCCCTTGAGAAAATATAAAATTGGAATTTAGAAATTTAATAAACTTATTACTCTGGCATAATTTGTCATGCCAAAAATTGGTTCACCTACTCATATTTAATGGTCATTTACTTTACATTTGTCTATATTAAACTTTCTGTTAAAATTCCATCGAAAGATGTTTCAAGGGAAAAAATAATTTAATAGGAAGACGTTTAGTGCTAATGTAATTGACTTAGTTGTCAAAGTTGAATTTCCATCCCCACTTCTTTTTGTGGTGTACCGTAGAATTTGCTAAATCTTAAATTCAATCACGTTGATAATAGATTTGCTAGAACAATTCTAACTAATTGAATTGAATTTTAAGCAAAAGCAAACGAAAAGAAGACTTGATCATCTTGAACATTTCTTCCAAGTAACAAAAGTTGACTCCAATGTCTCGAAATCTCAAACATTCACGTTTCCACTAATTTGGTCAAAAATCAGGTGCTACGTTCTTACGTACCCCACCACCGACAGTTCTTTCAGCCAACTTTTACCAAAATCATTAACAATTCCCACCATATAATAAATTTTTAAATTAAAATATAAAAATATGGTTACATCTTTGAAAAGTAAAAGAATATTCCTATTCCTATACACACATGACTAAAATGTGGGAAGACCAGACACTAAGAAATTGCAACGAAAGAGAGTTCATGACCCCACTTAAAATAAAAAATTAAGGTTAATTGACTGTAAAGTCATACAAGATTCAATAATAGATAAATGATAGCAATTCCCATTTCCAAACAACGTACTTTTATTCTTTTTCTCGTAACTTAGCACTTGTTTGGACGTCCGTATGGTTCCCACATATTCGACCTGCAAGAAAATTCATAATTGCAATCATCATGTTTAAGAAAATTTAATAAAAAAGAGGTAACTTGTATACATATATTCCATTGTGCGACTTCGAGGGTAGTCCAAATTCATTTCCATTACAACTCACAATTTATTAAAAAAATGCTAGATGGTCTTATTTGCTTTCTCACAATAAAAATAATTTCCTATATTTAAGGACTCAATATAAATTATAATTTTCCCGACATTGCAGAAATATATTTTCCAAATATGTATGCACCTTGTTAATTAATTAAAATTTTCAAGTAGATGTTGCAGAAAAGGAAAAAAATTCTATCAAACTTCTTTTAGAAAACTATTATATTAATTGTAGTCCGTAATACTTTTCCGACTTTGAAGCCAAATATTAACTATTGAGATTATTCCACAAAATCTAAATTCAGTATTCCTAATTGTTAAAATATTTATTATTTCTACAAAAATAACATTAAGAAGAGGAGTAAGGAAATAGAAGGGGCATTAATTGCGACAAACTGAACTCTCCCTAGTAGCTTATTACAATGACTACGTACCCAAATCATTTAATGGCGATTCAAACCACAAACAACCCAAATAAATAAATAAATAATAAATAAATAAAATAAAAATCCGTGTGATCTTCCATATCGAACCTAATTTGATTTTGTAAGTTTACAAGATTATTTCAAATTTCACAACGACCACTAACAACTTACATTTTTTGTTTTTTAATATTCTATATTTTTGAATTCCTAATTAATTCCAAAAACATGGAATCTTCAAGTTTCAATTGACTAAGGCAAGCAAAGGAAAGAAGAATACAGAAAACGCGCCAAAACTTACGTGTTGTCGTATTCATTGAAAATATAATTTTCCAGAAGTTGTGAAAATAAGCTGGAAATCAAACTAATATATCTACCTCTCTTTTCTCTTCTCTAGAAACCTCTGCAAAGACTTCCTCCTTGCTATGGGAAAGTCTGAAAAATAAAATAAAAATAAAAAAATAAAAACATTTTGAAGAAGTTAAAATCTTGTTACTACAGTAAAACTACAAACGTGCTACACGGATTAAATAAAAATTGTTACGCACCTCCATTGAGGGTTCCCAATATATTCTTTTGGTCAGATGAAGGGTCTGTTCCTTTAGAATCCGAGGATTCAGCAGGTTTTTGGGCTTCTTCCTCAGCATGTAGGAGAATGTCCTTGGCCTGTGCCATATATTAAAAGAAAAAGGGGTGCTTCAAAATTTTAAAAATTTCAATTTTATTTATCTTTATCAATGATATTGTTAAAATACAGACCTTATGTGGAGAAACATCAAAAACAGCGACCATCCCATTGTAGAAAATAGTCATTGGAGCAGTTTCAGCACTTCTCTTTGGCTCACAACTTTGCCTAAAAAATCCCAGAAAATATTCTTTAGCCATATGCAAGAGATAAATAAATAACAAAACGAATAAGCATTTTTTTTTCTTTCATTTATCCAAAGATTGTTACCTAAGGTTAGAACCATGAACTGGCAATGGAGGAAAGATGGTATGATCTTCCTTTGGCGTACAAGGAACTGTAACCGATTTATTAAGACCAGAGGAGCCATTTGCAATCACAGTTTTCAGAACTTCTGGATTGATCTTAGATATAACACCTTGAATGTCTAAATCCCACAAAAAAAAAAAAAAAAAAAAAAAACATCACAACCTTAAAATTAACATGCTACATTTGAAAATTCAAACACAGAAACACAAAAAAAGTATACGAACCACGAAAGCTTCTTCTGCGTGCAAAAGTGGGAAGCTTCGGAGGAGGAGATAACTCCTTTTCCATGCCGAAAAAGTCAAGTTCAATTGCTGATCTCGACATGGCTTATATTTCTTTCCTTTGTTTTATAGAAGAGAAGGGAACAGAAAGGACTTGTTTTTAATACAGTAGGTGGGATGTAGGCTGGGGAATATTGAGTTTGGTGCTATAAATAAATAAATGGAAAGGCATGAGGGAAATGTGAAGGCCAGAATAATAAGTGGGGCGGGTGGTTCTTGATCCGATTTTGCAATCTTTTCTTTACACGTAATTCACAAGATGTGAGACAAAAGAAGAAGAAACCTAATTTACAGTTTTTATTGTTTTTTATTTCCACCGGCGTGGCAGGTAAACTGGAATAAATAAACGTGCACAAGACCATCTAGAATTTTCAAAAGACATCAATACGATTTTACATGGATGGCGCTGTGTGCAGCGGGCAGCTGTCGGCCACACTCACCCAATGGGATAATTCAAGTGTTAGTGTAACAAGAAAAGGTGTAGTACAAACCCTTTGTCACACTCATCTAATCATCGTCGAGGCATAAGCGCCCTCTTGCTATCCATGGAGGCGTCATCTTAGCCTTCCTTGAGAAGGGATCTCTCCAACACCCTGTAGCATTCTTGATCTATCTCTTCAACTTTACAAGTCAAATGTTAACGTATTTTAGCTAAGAGAATTTGTAACGAACATATTAATTTAACTGTCAGTGTCAGATATTGGGTAGGAGTCAAATTTATCTCTTCGGTAGAGATATTAGTAATTTAGTTGAGAACATTTATTTGTGTTGGAAGTTAAGTTGATTTCTATCTACAACAAGCAGTTTATTTAATACACTTGACATTTAATTAAATTTTTGCTTTTTTTTTTTGTTGTTCCAATCTTATATATAGCCGTATCGCATTTATCACAATAATTATAAATCTCATTTTATTCAAGAAAATGAAGCTTGCCCAATCATTTATTGCCTATCGTTTTTATTTTATTTTATTTTTATTTCATTTTACCTCATGTTTTTATTTTATTTTATTTTTATTTCATTTTACCTCATCTAGCACAAAAAACAATCATACATCTCACTTTAAGGAAATGGTCATTTTAAAATCATTTAATTGTTTTTTCTTTTTGTTTCAATTCATATAACCGTTACCTCATTTATCAAAATAATAATAATAATAATAATAATAATCTCATTTTATTTAAGAAAATGACTGTTGCACAATCACTTAATTTTGAAATATAACTCTATAAATTCTACTTTTCAATCCAAAATAAACATTCTTATTATAAAAAAAATAATTTCTTCTTTTCTTGACTTGCTCAAACTAAAATCTCACACCGTGGAATCCCGATCCCCTTTTCTAACACTCAATCAAACCGACAATACAACTTTTGAACAACGATGCAATTTAATTTCAGAGTCATTTTCTCCACCACGATACTATTTTTAATCTTTTTCCCAAGAATATCATTTCAATCAACAATATCATTCTGGCTCTTTGACTGCTCTTATTTTTTTATTTTTTGCTTTTCTTTTCTTTTCTTTTTTTGGGGGGGGGGGGGGGGGGGGGTATATTTTAATTTGAAAAACACTACTCTAGAAGAATTATAGGACTTGAGTCAGCTTTCCAACATATTTTAAATCACCTCAATCAGATATCGAAATAGAAAATTATAATAAAATTACTGACAATTACTCAGACAATGTACTAGTCACCCACTTTGCGCTCCAGCGACAGGTCAATGTTTAGAATTCTATTTTGTTTCAAACACTGATTTTTCAATTTTTTTTTCATTCCAAATACTTTCCCCTATATATATATATATATATTTAAGGGGACTAAGGATTAGTTGGGTTTGGACCATATTGTAAGTCTCACCATTTTATAGTGGATTATGGACTGGCAAAGTGTCCGCAGTTTTTGATTCTTTGTAAAGGGTTTTCTCCAAGATCGTATTGATGTTATTTACTTTATGCAATTTACAAACCGTGACATTCAAATATAGGATAAATTGACTTATTTGATCTAATCATCCAGAAATAATTAAAGAGTGACTTGTTGCTTTTATTGATTATTTCTATATGTTGGGTCTAAATAAATCGATAATCTAAACTTTCAAATCTCAATTGTCATCTCATCAACCTTCTCAAGTTAGCAATTTACAACATCGCACAACACTAACGAAAAGAGATTGTCTCATTAGACGAAGGTCTCTATTTTTAACATCAGCATCGTTGTCATCGTTAATAAACATATTGTGTAGTATGATGAACGTTTTTCATTATGATACATGGATCATCCTTTTTTTTTTTTTTTTTTTTTTTCAACGCACAAGTCCTTTCGTTATTCCCCAACACCAAATGCTCGTTTCACATCCTTCCTAATAGCCTCTTGTTTTCTAGCAACAACCTTTCTTTTCAAGTAATTGGATTCGTAATGGTTTCCATCAAAGTAGCCCCTTTAGGGTATATGCCGTCAGATTCCCAATGTATATTTACGCCTATTCACCTCATAATTAAAATGAGACATATGACCATGGATAATAGTGTCAAATACAGGGGAATAACCCAAAACGTTCACGACATCGATGAACCTGGTATACCAAAAAATGCATTCCATATCCATAAAGTCTTTTGATGCAACTGTTTCTATTATGAAAATAGGCTGACTCGTGTGTGCCAGTGGACAAATTTTCCATTCTCAATGCATATAATCTATAGATGCAAGCATACATGGAAACCCTCTCCTCTCCCTGAAGCAAACGTGCAATATCCTGTTTGTTCATATACTGCTCCTCATATATTCTGACAGGGATGCTTCATACTACTCTTGATGACAGTGCGATCTGCTGATGCTCCATAAGCAAAGTATAAGTCATCTTTTGTAGTGAAGAGCAACCAAAATGACTTGTGCAATCTTTCTTTTGGACAAAATAATGTCTTCATCTTCAATATCCTTTAAAAAACGAAGGAACAACTCATTTTTCATCCGGTTGCGTCCACGAAAAAACTTATCTTGGTAAGTACAATCATCGTCGGAAAGATCTCTCCATATTTGTTGGTGAAATTGTCTTTTCGTTACGAAAATATTGTCGCTCATTTGATTGTGTGAGAATCGTTAGCACAGGTGGTAACAAATTCACAAACTTTTGAACTCGCTTCCATTGATATCGAGAAAGTGCATGTTAATCTTCACCGAATGAGCTTGATAAAGTCGATAATGTACAACTGATAGGAACAGATTAAGATGATGAAGCAATACTTTCTAGAAAAAGAATTAATTTGGAGATGAATCAAGAATTTATTGATGATGATTGCAGATGAAGACAAGGGTGATTTATATAGAGTATTGATGAAATGGAAAGTTAAACCTTTAGATAATATAATCGTTGAAAATCAATATATTCTTTGAATGTAAAATAGAATCGTTTAACTCAATTAAAATATATATAATCTCTTAATCACTGGTGTTTAGCTTTTGCTAATCATAAGTGACATTACATATTATTTAATTGGTGCACAGACCGTACTTGAGCTTTGGATCAACGTCCCTAGAAGGAGTATGCCTGTGTGTGCTACCTCTTGACTTTCAACCTACGACCAAAGTCAAGGATTTGGTTGGACTGACCGCACTGATTGTGATTGATATAATGTAAAATACGGATCTTTGATGATTCAAGAGGCGGCTTATCATTATTCATAATATCTAGTCCATGTTCGAGTGCATGCATTAAAGCCAGAAGCAAAGGTAGAGGTAGCGGGTTCACTTGTCCGATATTGCCAAAAAGATGGGTGGTGGGAAGGATAGACTATATATGGTCGATCCGACTTCCTCGATTGAAAGTAAGTTCATGATAGGTCCTAGAGATTAAATGATTGATCAATTTATAGATGTGTCATATCACCAAGCTAAATATCGATACTTAAGAGATCAATCATATATTTATGTAAAGACACACACACAAGGTTGAGTAACTAAATTGACTAGTCTATTCTGATAACCATGATAAACCAAGAATAACTAATTTAGAGGGGGGTGAATTGATTTTTACAAATTTCCAAAGAATTAGGCCCTGTTTGGGAGGAATTTTGAGAATTGATTTTTTGATCTTTAGGAGAAAGCGGAGACCAACTGTGAGAAAAGAAGTCAAATTTTATGGTTGGAATATGAAATAATGGTCAAAAAATCAATTTTTTGGGGGGTGAAAAATCACTCTCAAACACTCCCTTAATCTAATTTCAAGCAAGTAAATACTAAATAGATTAATTCAATTAATAAGCGCAAATGAGAAAGCAATAAGAAAAATGGAAGAGGGGATGCAAACGAAATAATTGTAGAGGTTCGATCTAAAGTAATAATCTGCATTCTTTGTTACCAAGTTTTCTGGTACGAGCAAGTCCTTTTCACTATATTAATTGACCTATGGTGTAATTCAACCCTTTACAACACTTCAGATGACTTACAAACGAAGAGTATTGATCATTATAAAATATTGAGTTTTACGATACCTCAATATGACCCACACTATTGAAATTTACGGTACCTTAATATGACCCCACAAGTATAACAAAATTATTTTACAATGAAACTTCTCTCTTAATAAATAATGCATGTGAATTAAATACTAAGAGATGCTAACACTTTAATGAATAGCAACAAATGATAGCTCAAGTGTTAAATAAAAACTTTGATGAATATGATAATTAAAAATTAGATTCAACCAATTAAAGTTTTTCAATGTAAAGATGAAAATGAATTAAATGTAATTTAAGTTCAAAAATCTTCTCAAAATATTTGTTTCTTTAATGATTAATCACAATAAATTAAGTTCCAAGACATAGATGGGAAACATTGATGAATATAATGATTTTTCAAGTTGATTCAATCGATAAAAGTTTTGTTAAAGAAATAGAAGAACTAGATGCAATGTAAGTTCAAAGATTTTCTACAAAATATTTATCTTTTGTGAATGATAGCATTAAGTTAAGTATCAAAAGAGAGATGACAAGTTTTGATGAAGCTAATGATTAAAGATTTTGATTCAATCAATCAAAGTTTTGATAAAAATAAATGAAAAGAATGCAAATGTAAGCTCAAAGAATTCTCTCAAAATATATCTCATTTTGCTTCTCTTGAAAGTCTTGTGAAAAATGGAAAAAGTGAAGGTATTTATATAGCTCAAAAATCAAAATACTCTGTCGAATCGGACAACCAACCTGATGTCCGCC